TATTATTATTATTATTATTATTATTCCCCACCATCTAGTCCAGTGTTTCTCAACCTTGGCAACTTTACGATGTGTGGACTTCAACTCCCAAAATTCTCCAGCTAGCAACACTAGCTGGAGAATTCTGGGAGTTGAAGTCCACACATCGTAAAGTTGCCAAGGTTAAGAAACACTGATCTAGTCAGAGCTGAAGAAGCTTCTTGGATGTCTTCAAAGAAAAACCAGGGGGCTCCTGAAAAAAGCACCTTTGGGACAACCATGATCTGGATGACTGAGGATCTCCATAGACGTCTTGAAGCCTTGTAAGATCAAGGAGAACATCATGAGGCTATCGTCAGATTTTAGGCCTCGGAGTAGGGCCGTCCAACCTTGGCAACTTTAAGACTTGTGGACTCAGCTCCCAGAATTTTCTATGCTGGCTGAAGAATATTTGAGAGTTGAAGTCCACAGGTCTTCAGTTGCCAAGGTTGGATATCCCTGGTTAAGAGCCTTGACTCCAAGTTAAACGTTGCTTTGCACAGGATACAAGAATGTCAGAACGAAGAGACCACATGTCCACATTTAGAGACAGCATTCTTCTCATCTGCCAGGGAACTGAACTAATTGTTCTTGTTGTTAATTGCGAAGTCGTGTCCGACCCATCGCGACCCCATGGACAACGTTCCTCCAGGCCTTCCTGTCCTCTACCATCTTCTGGAGTCCATTGAAGTTCACGCCTCCTGCTTCAGTGACTCCCTCCAGCCACCTCGTTCTCTATCGTCCCCTTCTTCTATTGCCCTCCATCTTTCCCAGCATTAGGCTCTTCTCCAGTGAGTCCTTCCTTCTCATTAGATGGCCAAAGTACTTTGAGTTTCAACTTCGGGTGCACACCGAGGAATCCAAGTGCCAGCTGGACCTTTGAAACCAGCTGGTACTTTGAACCAGCCTAGAACTCTGAACTGATCTGGCAAGGCAAGGCTTATGTTCTCAAGGAGGAAATGAATTACAGAACTTGTAAAATCATGGCGGGGATGGGAAAAGAGCCATGTTTATAGGGTGTGAACTTTGTGTTTTTGAAAGCAAGCGTGCATCTTGCATTTGAACTCACAGGCACGAGAAGGAAGAGGGAGTGCTTTGGGTTTGCCCAATAGGGCTTCACGTTAAAATAACTCCGCTGTTTAGGAGAGCGCAGATGGGGAGATTTTAAAATAAATGAAGGATCCACAATCATTAGTGTTACATTTGTGTATATATATTCAGCCAATAGCAAAACAAATGTGGGGGAAGAGAGGCCTGGGTCAACCTGATGTCCTCCAGATGTTTCGCACTACAAGTTCCAAGATCCTTTGTCCATATGGGAATTGTAGTTCAACGTATCTGGAACGGACTGAGTTGGGAAAAAAAGCTGACTTAAGCCTTTTTTCTTCGTGGCTTGGAGAATAGTAGTGGAAATGCCTTTGAATCCGGGAGAAGCCCATTTGTCTTCTTCTTAATTGATGGTCAGTGGGTTGAAAACTGCAAGAAGTGGGCCAAAAACCTGGCATGGCCAAAATTCAGTGGGTTGATGTTATGTCAATCATCAACTCTTAACTGTGCCTCATTGGCAAAGGGGTCTTAAGGCTAAAAGGAAGAAGCGTGGCCAGGAAATGCTACTCTCCAGCCCATGGGACAATAGTGGGATGGAAATGAAGACTTCCAGAGGTGACACTGGGGCTCTCTATGACTGCTGGACCACAACTCCCAGCAACCTAGCCAGCATGGCAAATGGGGAAGGATGCTGGGAGATGGAGCTGCCCAACATTGAGAAAGGCTACATTTCCAATTGGACATCTCAATTTCCTTTCGTTTGCCCCCCAGTCTGTTTGCGAACCGGAGTCGGTTGAGCAAAGAAGCACTCCAGATGTTGACAGCAGGGTGTCCAGAATCTCCGTGTGTGAAGGTGGAAGACTATGAGCAGATAGGTGCCAGCTTGAGAAAATATGTCCACCAAGATGGGGTGATCATCTGGATCGGAACCGAGTACACAACTCTGGGGCTTTACAAGGAGATTCCTCAAGTAAGAGAGAAGAGTAAAAAGAAACATAAGATTCTTCTTCCCACCCTACTCTAATCCTACGGTTTCTCCCACGATTGTAGGGAGAGTATCTCCTAACCGCTCCCCACCTATGAGCTATTTCTTCTAACACCTGTTGAACCCAACAACTTAAACGGGTTTTTTTTAATAAAAAAAAGACCAGGATTTAAGCAGAATCACAACATCATCTTAGAAGAACAAATTGTGCAACTAGAAAAGGATAACTATCAAATAGTTACATCAGGCCATCAGCAATTAAATAATAATAATAATAAAGAATTGGATCTGTGCTACAGTTTGCACGATGCTCCTAAGTGCAAAGCAAGGCAAATGTAATTCTTAATTTCTAGGAGGAGGGAGTGGGGGGGGAGAATAAATGCTTGATATCCACTTAAGGAGAGATTTACTCCACTTCCTTTTTCCTAGCACTGATCCCTTAGATCGTGAATCTTCCAGAATCATGACAAGGAAAGATATCAGTGCTGCTGTTCACTGCTGAATTTTTTAAAAGTGAAATGGGAAGAAACAGGGCAGATCAATGCAACTGGTTAATGGAATCTGCTGTCGTGAGTGATACAGTTGGCTGATATTTAATCCCTGAATGAGCCTCCTATAGATCTGCTCAACTTTTTCCCAGTTTTTCTTACTGAGTTTCTGGGGCAAACTCAGGCTCTGGGGACAAGCTATTCCCTATGAAGCTCCAACAGAGGAACGTTACAGAACTTCTAAGATTCACATAGCAGCAAAAGCTTATATATCGCTTCAGAGTGCTTTACAGCCTTCTCTAAGCGATTTACGGAATCATCATATTGCCCCCAACAATCTGGGCCCTCATTTTGCTAACCTTGTAAGGATGGAAGGCTGAGTCAACCTTGAGCCCATCAGGATCGAACTCCTGGCAGTGGGCAGAGTTAGCCAGCAGTACAGCATTCTAACTACCGTGCTGCCATGGCTCTTTATGTCGAGATCCCAGTGATGGCTTGTAACCAGCTGTGCATTTACAGGTGCGTAAAGAAACTGCTCTAATTCCCACAGTGCTGTCTTAGGCCTATGAAATTTACCCCTGTAGTAGGCTGTATTGCTATTGTCATCTTTCTCATCTTCTCATCTTTCCTACTATCTTTTCCTGTTGGTATCTTATGATTTATCACTTGTTGTTTGTATCTTTAATGATTGTTAACTATAATTTAGGATCTATCACTTTGTTGTTGTATGTGTGTATACTGAGAGCTTATGCACCGGAGACAAATTCCTTGTGTGTCCAATCACACTTGGTCAATAAAGAATTCTGTTCTGTTCTGTTCTGTTCTGTTCCATTCCATCCACTCCACTCTCCATTCTATTCTATTCTATTCTATTCTATTCTATTCTATTCTATTCTATTCTATTCCCTAATTCTATTCTATTTTCTAATTCTATTCTATTCTATTCTAGTCCAGTCCAGTCCAGTCCAGTCCATTCTATTATTTCTAATTCTACTCTACCCTGTTCTATTCTATTCTATTCTATTCTATTCTATTCTATTCTATTCTATTCTATTATTTCTAATTCTATTCTAGTATATTCTAGTCTAGTCTATTCTAATCCAGTCCAGTCCAGTCCATTCTATTATTTCTAATTCTATTCTATACTATTCTATTCTATTCCATTCCATTTTCTAATTCTGTTCTATTTTCTAATTCTATTCTATTCTATTATTTCTAATTCTATTTAATTCCATTCCATTCCATCCCATCCCATCCCATCCCACTCCACTCCACTCCACTCCACTCCATTCCACTCTAAATTCCCACTTTCCTGTTCATAGGAAAACCTCTTAGAAGACGACTTCTCTCCTGTCATGCTCTCCAAGGCTGTCAAGAACTCGAAGGAGCAGAAGATGATGGAAGCCGCTCACGTATGTAATCCACAGCAGGAACACTCACCCCGTGTGATGCAACGACCTTGAGAGCCGAGGCCCAAAGCGCCTTCAGGAGTCA